TGATGTATTATGTTATGCTAAGGCCCAACATTGTTGTTTTATGACAAGGAAAGGCTTACAGCAATGGAATAACATAATCATATTGTTATATGTAAACAAAATACATGTTATATAACATGATATGATATGTTACCACCAACAGACTTGAATATATTTAGCCGATTGTTTTGATACCAGAGCTTGAGATAGGAAGGTTGTAGAGAATTATGGAAACCTTTGTTCTTCTGCTTACAAAAGAGAAAATTTGCATCCATTAACTGAAGATGAGGCTGGACTGGTTCTGTGTAATGTGATTGAGATGTATCTTGTGTTGGTGGGTGGTACTGTAAACTAACAACTAGTGTCTGAAATGAACATATTTTACTGAAAATAAATTCATAGTAAACAAATAAAAAATATAATAAAAGGAGCCCTGAGACTTTCTTCATTTCGGAAGCTGAGGAAATCTAGACTTGCCACATTTTCTAGACTTGCGTGGGCTTTCTTGGATATATTTACTTCAGGGTCTGTATGAGAGACTAGGTGGTACTGATGAAGGTGTTTCAAGTGTATACATATGAATGCTGGCATGTCTGATCGTTTTCATATATAAAATGGTTTAAGAATAACACAGTGCCTGTTGTATTCAAATATCAATACAAGAGAACAATCAGGCTCGATTATCAGCCAAAACAGAATCCACTGGACATTATAACCACAAAATATTGATGAGTATTATTTGAAAGGATCACTTACTTTGGCCATATGGTGGTGTTTGAACCAGACAATCCAGTGATCAGTATCATAAGCTGCACATTTCTGGTGTGTTATCGACAGTCAACCAAGCCACAAAGCATACTATAAAGTAAGTACCAATGTGTAAGGAGGTGTTAAGGCACCTTATAGAGGTATGAACATAACTCACCATTTGCATTAATTGCTCTGAATATCTACCATCAGATCTTTGGAACAACTTCATCAGACCTTAAGTGGTAAGACCCGTGAAGGTCCGGGTTAGAATATTGTCTTTCAGTATCTCATGCTTGTTGTAAGTGGTGACTAACGGGATCGGGTGGTCAGGCTCGCTGACTTGGTTGACACATGTCATCGGTTCCCAATTTCTGGATTGATGTGCATGCTGTTGATCACTGGATTGTCTGGTCCAGACTCGATTATTTACAGACCGCCACCATATAGCTGGAATATTGCTGAGTGCGGCGTAAAACTCAACTCACTCACTCACTTTAATGGTAAAACCTTGTGGTAAAACCTTGATTGTAAATTGTAGTAAGATATGTCTTGCAATGAATTGAATCATATATTCAACTCAGTTCGAATGGTTAAACTATATATACACATGAGTCCTCAGGATTAAATAACAAGTATCCATGTTTCCATATGTTAATATACTCCCAAGATTCAGTATCACCTCAGAATAGGTTTCAACAGAGGAACTATGAAGGTAAGATTTATAAGAAAAGAGTGATAAAAACTGAATAAGTGGATACTTGGTCTGGTCCAAAATCTGCCCTGTTCTATTTATCAGCAACTGAAGCCACATAACTGGAATCATTTATGTAGAACAGCCCTTTGGTCTCCAGAATCATTTTATATAAGCACATTTTAATGGCAAGACGTTGTGTGAATGGTGATTGGTGTGATTATTGGTTAGAAGCAACGTCACTGAGTCAGTAGCTGGAAGTATATAGAACTACAGCAGCTTTATGTTAATGGCACTTGAATAATTCCACACACATTCACTTCATGGCTATACTGTAATGAGCCCTTGAAATTAAATGTGCATATAGACAAACATCATGAATAGGTTGCCATGGTGATAGTTCCAGTAACATGCTCATGCTCACAGGTTTTAGCAAAGTGTAACACATGCATTGCTTCAGGATTTTCTCCTGATAATGCCATGTCAATCTGTGATTTCCAGTATTTCTGCAGCTAATGATACTTCAATGTTATAACTGGAATGGTAACTCACCCATAGTGATCTCAACTCCAGTATTTCTGCAGCTAATGATACTTCAATTAAAAATGAATTGTTTACCTTGAAGTCATAATGGAACCACCCTAGAATCCACAAAAGTTGAATTTATTTCAGTATAATATTGGGCGCTTTATTTGATTTCACCCACAGCTGACATTAATGCTAGCAGATGTCTTCCTACATAGTAGTTGCTTCAACTTCTGGTAGACACATGGAAATGATACATGTTGTTATTGATGCATCAGTTTATGTCCATTTTATTGAGTGCTTCACCAAACAGAACATTAAATTTATTATTCACAAACAGGAGTGACAGTAGCTTGGTATGATTATTGCTGTAATTAGCAGTATTTCATTAGGCATGATGAAGAGAACCACCCCCCTCCTTCTGTAACTATGTAGTAAGCCCGGGAGAATAATCTTAGGCATGTTCCACACGTCATCTGGTGAACATTGTCAGGTGCAAGTCACTAATGTAATGATGTAGATTGCAGCTCAGGAGCCAAGCATACCATTAAGCAAATAGAGAACCTTTCCGTGACAATTAAATTGATTGCTAAGCATCGTCTTGTCAAGCAGACGTCATCTGTGATGTACCACAGGCCATGGAGGTCATCGTTAGAATATGAATTATACGTGATCGAACCCAATAAGGTAGGGATATGGACTATGTTTGAGTCCCCAAACACCTTTTCTGAAACAGCTGGAAGGTTCATCTTTTGTGGGTAATGAATTAATCACGAACAAAAGTAAGTATGTAAATTAAATAGTATTCGTCATACCTAGGTGTTGGCATCAGTTGATTGGGTGATTGTTCAGGTATGGGCAGAATATGTGCGGTATAAGCATTCAGCAGAAAGCTTCTGGACAAGACGGTGGTCTTGGTGTTTTTTATCCACATCGATGCAGCTTTCTGCTTCTTAAACACTTCAGTGTACTTCAGTCTTCATGAAGTATTGAAACTTTGTTTCACTCCGGTGTATTCAAGGCTTTTTTATGCTATTCATCAAGGAAATATTGTTTTTCATCATCTATACCCTGTTTGGGTTCACAAACATGGCCACTGAGCAGCTCCCAGCAAAGAAAAGCACTGCAAAAAGACAAGCAGTTGGATCCAGTAAAAGGATAAGATTCGGTAGCTGTTCCAGAGCATCCTTGGAGGGTCGAAAGCCATGGAACAGCTCTACCAAGTGCCCTACCAGCCAAATTATAAGGAGGAGGAAGTCTACGTTTGCTAAACTTGGCACTATTGCAATTTGCACCTCAAAATGGCAAGGTCTGCGGAAAAAGAAGACAAGGGTAAAATGTTCTCCATCTTCAGTTTCTGGGATCTCAGATAAGTGCCATGGTTTCAATGTGAAGAGGGCTGAGAGGCCTTCACGACCCCTGCAAACAATGAGATCCCCTTCACAAGCTGCTGCATCACAAGACACAAGCAGGGAAATGACCAGGTCAGTACAGATGAGGTCTGGTCCAAGAGTCATGGACACATACCAATCTTGGAGTTCCTCTTTACGTTGTTATGGTAAAAAGCGACCACTTACTCTCTTGAAAACTCTTGCAAGGTCAGAAAATGGAGTAGCATCACAGAAATATTCAGCGAAAGGGAAGAGTGCATGTAGACAGGAATATAGGCATTCCATAGTTAAGAAAACAGAACCAACCAGTTCAAGAGTATCATCTTTGATAAAGGTAAATGTCAGGAGACAGGGCCTAACCATGATGACTTCTAACAGGGCTACTGGAACTGACAAACCATGGAGCAGTTCCTTACGATATTATCCCTCTAAAATCCCACAGCCAATAATACCTCTTCTAAGAGGTAAGAAGGAATATGAACGAGGGCCTGTAACATGTTCTGTATTTGCAAAGCAAGCTGCAAGATCCTTTGGGATTGTTCCAGTCAAGAAACACAGGAGCAGCCAGCAGCAGACAGTTGTGCAACATCCTTATCAGTGGAGTCACTCTTTAAGATCATATTCTTCTCATTTACCTAAGCCAAAGAGTTCTCTCAGTGTATTTACAACAATAAAGGATGTAAAGCCTCCTATTGCAGGTTTTGAAGATTTGCCTGTGAGAAAAATACCTGTCATTAATGGTAAGAAAGAAAGTGAAGGAGTGACTGGTAGACATTCAGTCTTTGGCAAGCAAGCTGGAAGATCCTCTAGGATTCTTCCAGTAAGGAAACATAAGATGGGCCAGCAACTGAAAGTTTGGTCTCCAGGACGAGTTGTGGAACATGCTGATCAGTGGAGTAATTCCTTACGATCATATTCATCTCTTATCCCTCGACCGAAAAGATCTATCAATCCTTCAACAACCAGAAAGGATGTAATACCTCCTGTATCAGGCTTGGAAGATTTAGGAAAAGATGGACACAAAGACAAGGCAGTGTCTGTCAACTGGTGTTGTTCTTGTGACTGCCAGTGCCCTGATTTGTTTTGTACCTCAACAACACCTAAGTCAAGAAGAAATGACAGAAAAGTACAAGTAAGAACAAAACCTTCCAAGATGACAACAGAAACCAGGAAGCCTTGGAACAGCTCTCCTCATTGTGATGACAAACAGGCAACAAGACCTGCTCGTCTGAAACCAGGGAGCAGTCTAATATCAGACATTTCATGCCAGGTTGGAAGGAAAGGGAAGATGGATAAAGCTGTGTCTGTCAAGTGGTGTTGTCGTTGTGACTGCCAATGTCCAAAGTCATATGACATTTCAAAAGGAGCAAAGATCAGCAGCAAATCTAGGCAGCCTAAACACACTGTAAAATATTCTGGGAAAGGGGTAGAGGTCAAGCCATGGATATCTTCACTAAGATCCTACTCATCACGTATTCCAAGACCTCAGAAACCAACAACCATATATAAGCAGAGACAACAAGTTGATCCAAATGCTTCTGCAGGAAAAATCAGCATAAAGCCTCAGCCTACAATTGTAAGTTCCAAGAAAGATTCAGCAATCAAGCCAGCGGATTTTCTCCTCAAGGCAATTTCCATCTCACTCACCAAGACCTCGGAAGACTGCAATCAGTTTTCAGCAGAAAAGACATATTGAACATGGTGATGGAAATCTTACAGAAGTGAAGATGAACAAGAAGCCTCACTTGAAATCTTCCCAGGTTGGTTTAGAGGGTATGACATGGGTTACATCTTTGAGATCCTTTCAGTCTCATATACCAAGGCGAAAGAAACCTGTAATCAGTTCTCAGAAGAAACCTGAGGTTGAACAAAATGATCAGAATCTTACATCAACAAAGGACATAGGAGTATCGGTTCAATGGTGCTGTTCCTGCGACTGCCAATGCCCAAAGCAGGAAGCCATCAGCCCATCACTGGTCATCATAAAGAGCACAAAGAGACAGTCCAGGGTCATTAAACCAGTTACAGGTATGGAGGATAAGAAACCATGGAGCACATCCTTACGCTCCTACCCTTGCAATGTTCCCCAGGCGAGGAAATCTCTGTCAGTTCCTGTTGCGATGACTGAGGAGGATCCAGCTGGAGGACATCAAGGTCCTTGCACAGGATGTGAGGGTCCAAGGACAGGGAAGAGGAAGAGTGGACCTCCTGTGAGTGAGGAGGAGCTGGAGAAGGAGGAAGGGTGGTTGGTTGAGAGAGTTGTCCGTCTGAGGGAGGTTCATCGTCTGGCAATGGAGTCTGAGATAAGACGGCAGAGGATACAGAAATTGCGACTGGAAGCGGAAAGATTGGAAAGAATGTTAATGACAGGAGACTTGGAATTAGGGGAGCGTTTCAAAGGTGGAAAGCTGGTTGTTGTTCCTGAGATCAGGATCAATGATAGGCATGATAAAGGTGAGCAATAAGATGCTTAGACTGATTGATTTCTTGTGCGCAATACTCATGACATGATGATGATGATGATGATGATGATGATGATGATGATGATAAAGCATGTATGTTTGGCAGGAGGAACTTGGAGTGAGTGAGTATGTTTGTATGATGCTTTTAGCTATATTCCAGCAATATTCCCGCAGGGGGGCAATGTGCCAGTGTGGGGAATTGAGTCCCAAGATTCAGCATGGTTAGCCAATGCTTTAAAAATTAGCCTAGTCCACAGCGCCAATGAATATGAAACACACTGTAGTTTTCTTGAACTGTAGGTTCTTGGATACAATAAATTATTTATGAGAGTTCAGCTTGGGTGTTTGGTAGTGAGGCAGCCACAGATGAAATCTAATAATTAATTCATTATGGCCTTGTTATCAGTTTCTGCATTTATTTTCATACATTGCTACAAGATTAACTTCCTTAGGAGCCTTTGAACCAATGGTGATGAGATAAATGAGTTTTATCAATGTTTGATACATAGACAGTGATGATGGTCTTTGTTGTTTTGACACATAAATGACTTGAAGACAATTTTCTTTGTCACAATGTTTTGTTTTTGAAAGTTGAAGTGATGGAATCAAACTGTGAAAGATAGAAAATTTGATTATTAACATCATAGTAATGATCGCTATCCATATGTACAGTTTTCAACTCTTCTCTGAAGGTTATGTAGCCATGATGCCTCAAGCGATTGATTTAGTCAATGGTACAGGTTGTTGGTAACATTTCTGAATTATTTAAGTTAAGAACTTGATGTTAGATATGGCTGTGTGGGATTGCTGAAGTAATTGGTTAGTCTGGACGGAAGGATTTACAGAAACATGGACATGGGCAAGTAGGATAAAGCAGATTGGATATGGAACAGAATATGTACAGAGTGAAAATATAGTTTAGGTTGGGATCTTTGTGTTGTGAGTTGAGAAACGTCCGCATTAGATGAATATACCAGTTGAAATCAGCTTGGTTTCACTCAAGTGGTTGTTGGTTTTACTTGATGCATATAATCCCAGCTTCCTTGTGTCAGCTGTAAGTGGCTTAGAGTGAACCGGACACCGTCTCACATTTACTGGCATCATGCAACACACAAACACTTAATTCATTATGCAAGAAGTGTGAGTGGTGGGTGCTACTGATAGGGCAGGATATATATACTCTTCTGGCAAACACCTGGTGTCATCAATGATTTGTAGTGATCCATTTCTTATATACCGGTAAGTTTTTCACATAACAGCTTGGCCTTTCATGCACAGTAGGATATATTTTTACCTCGAGTTTATCTTTAAATAATTACCATATATCGCTGTGTGTAAGATGAGTTTTTTCTACCTAGAATTAGAATTGTTTAAAGGGTTCTTGCCTTATACACTGGGTAGACTCACACGACTGGCGATGTTGTATACAAACCTCATGTTTTATTCGCAATCACTGTTCCAACAACTGTTTTCGCATCTAAGCTTCCATTGTATGTGAATTCCTTGTTCATACACAGATATTCTGCAAACGAAAAAATGGTATTTCATGAAAATAATGAAAAAATCTAAAACTAGATGAATTATTTCTTTGAAGCTCCAATTATTGATAACCAGAATAATGAGCCAGCTGATGTATTTCATATTTCTATTCTGTGTAAATATTTGCTGGCCTGAGGGTGATGTTAATGTTGTGACGTTCACCTTATGATCGCACACAGATGGGAGGTTGCAGCTACAGCATAACATGGCGTAGACAGTTGCTTTCCTCAGATGAACACAAGAAGGGCAGCTATCATTGGCAGATTTAGACAATTCCACTCATCCTAGTGCAATAACATCATCAGTTTATCCAGATGTGGAAGATACATCAGAATACCCTCAAAAAGTGCTGCACGTTCAGAGGCCTTGATGAGAGGGAGTAGTGATTCATGTGATAGACAGATTTACATAGTTTTGTTTCCTCAACATTTATCATATGATTATGTAATATATCATGTAGATTGTTCACATGTTTGTCTCTGTATGAATCAGGACTCAAGTGACAAATTAGTTGTAGTGGGGTGAGATGAAATATTGGTAGTTTTTTCTGAGACATAAATATGACATTTGTGCACTTGCTGGGTTTTTAAGCTGCATCAAGTTGTCCTTACGTCGCTTTGTACTGACATTTATGACAATTCAGTCCATCTTGGGCACCTACTGATGTGCAGGAAGACTGCTTGCTATACAGATGTAATAGTGTAGAGTTTCATAGTAGAAACATATGTTCAAGTGTCAGGAATAGCCAGCATGTAAGGTTCATCTTCCGGCACTTCATGTTCGTCCTCTGTAACCCCTACATGGGTTATATATACCCCCTTCCTCTACTCATCTCCATTCAGTCCTACTTTGAGACTCAGACATGTAGTTAAGTTATCCAGAGACCATATACCCGTCCCTAGGTATATGGTCTCTGTCTTATCTAAACAATTATCTACAAAATATATAAAATATAATCCAAATTGAGTCCAGAAAATCCTAAGTTTCTGGATTTTCAGAAGCTGAAGCAATCTAGACTTGACTTGACTATTATTTAATTTATTGTCCTATAGGATTGGGATACAGACTTTCCTTATATGCTCTCTCTTCAGCCTTTCTTATCACCTGTCTTCTCCTCCCTTCATGCTTTCCTCAAGTATCTCTTCCACTCAAATTTTCCTACTCAGTCCCCCCACCTTTTACCCGTGAAGGTCCGGGTTAGAATTGGCCTTCAGTAACCCATGCTTGTTGTAATAGGCGACTAATGGGATTGGGTGGTCAGGCTCGCTGGCTCGGTTCCCAGTTACGTAGATCGATGCTCATGTTGTTGATCACTGGATTGTCTGGCCCCTACTCGATTATTTACAGACCGCTGCCCTGTAGCTTGAATATTGCTGAGTGCGGCATAAAACTAAACTCACTCACTCACTCACTCTCTCTCTCTCTTCAGCCTTTCCTATCACCTGTCTTCTCCTCCCTTCATGTCTTCCCCAAGTATCTCTTCCACTCAAATGTTCCTACTCAGTCCCCTCACCCTTTCTTCACCCTCTCTCATCCATTTCTTTATCCCATCTCCTCACTCCTCTCTCTCACCCAAACCCTCCACCCCAACCTCACCTACTCTTACACCCCTTCATCTTCTCCCTTCACACTTCTTCTCTTCACCCTGTGTTTACTACTCTTCACCCTCCAACCCTTTTTACTCCACTCACTTCCCTCCCCCCTCCCCCTATTCTACTGCTCTTGCTCTTCACTCCCATTACCCTTGGGCTCCTCCACTTCACCTCCCTCCCCTACACTGTCCTACCTTCTCCCCCCCCCTGCTGCCTTCATTCCTCACCCTGGCAGTCCCTGCAACATGCTCATATTGCTACACAGGTTATGTCAGGGAATCTCTAGTCTGTTTTATACACAATCTGGAGGGGAGGGCCCACATGATAAAATATTTACAGCAAGGAAAAAGCTGTGATGTTGCTGTAAGTAGCTTGGCCATCTGTCTGGGGGTAAAAATGTGAGATGTGCTTCAGGGAGCATGGTGGCGGGGATCTGGGAAGTTTTTATGGGGATGGATTGTCATACTGTAAGATGCTGGCGCTGACTGAAACGTGATTGCCAGTACACATGGAACATGTTTAGGAGAGATTTTGACATAAATTTGACAGATGTTGTGAGTTGTGGAAATATTTGGAGATTTAGTTAATGGCTTTGATATGTTTCATTTCTATGATGCTTTTTATTGAAAGTTTGCTTCAGATTGTACTGTGGAGTAACATCTTGTGATCAAAGATTTTGTGTAGTTTTAAATAGATGTTTATTTCAGTTCTTTCCTTCTTCATATGTATGGCTATATTTGCTTGTTTAATGCTTTATGGGTCTACATATAGCTGTGAAAAACTTAGCACCATAAAACAGTAATAGACTGACAACTGATTTCAACTGTTTTCTCTTCAAGATACTATCTTCCTAAACACATGTGCACTAACTACTCATCTATTGAGATGGCGGGTCAGATACATGCACTTGTGCACTCACCACAACTACTGCAGATCTTCTAAAAAAAAATCTGAAAATAAAAAGAAACCTTAAAGAGTGCTTGAATGTTTGGACCAAGTCTAAATATAGGATAAATTCATTAAAATTGCCTAAGCATGAGAATTATCTGTTTTCGAAAATTTTGTTGGAACCATTCTTTGTTTGTTGTTTGGTTGATTGTTGTACGGTTACTGTGAAGTGTTGTTGTCTGGGAGATAAGAGCAATGACCTCATAGGACTATTGTGTTTTCCATGAGGCAATTGGGTATGACTGACATGTTGCCATGCCAGCCATTCTTCCCACAAAGACTCTTATCAGGCCAATTTGCAGAATGTGTAATTTGATAGCAAGGAAATGGTAAAATGGGACTTTAACAGGGCTAGGTTTGCTGCAGATGTGCAGCAGGGGGTAGTGATGCACATTCTCAGAGCAGATGAGCGAGATACACTCCAGCAGGAGATGATGTGAAGGTTGAGGCAGGGTTACATGAAAAAGATGTGATACTTAGGGAAGAGTAGGTCAAACAGTTAGGTGTGATACACTGGAAGGTCAGGTCACAGTCAGGTGGGATACACAAGAAGATCAGGTCAGTTAGGTGTGATACACTGGAAGATCAGGTCACAGTCAGGTGGGATACACAAGAAGATCAGGTCAGTTAGGTGTGATACACTGGAAGATCAGGTCAGTTAGGTGTGATACACAAGAAGATCAGGTCAGTTAGGTGGGATACACTGGAAGATCAGGTCAGTTAGGTGGGATACACTGGAAGATCAGGTCACACAGTCAGGTGGGATACACAAGAAGATCAGGTCAGTTGATACACTGGAAGATCACACAGTCACAAGAGTCACAGTCAGGTGGGATACACAGGAAGATCAGGTCAGTTAGGTGTGATACACTGGAAGATCAGGTCACACAGTCAGGTGTGATACACAAGAAGA